CATGTATGTACAGTGGTACGTTGGTCTCATCATACTGCCATATACTTTTTAAATGATGTTTACAAGCATGTTTCTTTTCATAATGTGTTTTTGTTGTTGATCTAGATTTTATCATAATACATTACACTTAAAAATGTAGATCATGCACTGGCGTTCTAGTTACGATCATATTATATTTATAATATCAATTTAATGTTTTTTTTTATTTTAGAAGAGATAAATATTGTTATTTTATTTCTCCCCTTAATTTCAATTTGAATACAATCATAAATCAGCCTGCAGTCCCTCTTTTTATGGAGAATCATGCTCTTTGAAATGCGGTAACTGTAGTGACGGAGTTACTTGTCACCATGTCAATGGAAGCTGTGCAAACGGATGTGACGTCGGTGTTTATGGAGACAGATGTGAAATGGGTAAATTCAAAAAAGCCCTGTCTTAGAACAGAGCGAGATAATTTAGATTATTTTTTTCAGAAAATTATACTCTCTAGCTTCATGGTCTTTCGCTATTAATAGGACGTAGCAAGTAACAAAACCCATCCATCTGCTTTTTTTCCACCATGTGTTAATATTTTTTTTCAGTTGAAACACGTCATTTAAATAGTTAAACGTTTTTATCCATTTCGTATAACATAACTTACCCACGCCACAATTAATTACTTCCAAAACTTGTTAATCCGCTTGAGGTAAGCTTTTAAAAATATGCCACATATAAAATCTATTTTTGAAGGAAAAAATTAGCAAAAAATTGCATCATTTTAACATTGAAATGAAATCATGAGTAATGAAGCTTATTTACGCATTAAAGCACAAAGTGGTTTATAAAAAAGTGTTAACTGCCCCAAGTTATGTAACATCTTATAACAAAAGTTGGAATAAGCTTAATTCCTTAAATACATTTAAGCAGACATCTGTCTTAAACGGTCAATGGAGAAGTTAATCATTTCTCTTTGGCCATCTGTGAGATTCAAGTATATTTCATTCGTACAATACTTGATCACATACATGAGTATGATGAACCACACAACTTTGTTTTGAGAACATCTTGTGAAATTATAAGTCATGAAATATTGCATTTTGAATTCTGTTTAATTTAAGTGAATTAAAATAACAAATTGTAATCTAATTTCATGTGTAAAATAATGTCTATTAGATAATCTAATTTACTTCATTTCAGTCAAATAAGTTAATAAAAGCTAAAGAGGTTCATGATATCTTAACGGGTTTGGTGTGTTTTTCAGTCTATTCCAGTGTATCAGCATTAGTGTAAAATGACATCACAGTCTCGCAGCAAGCCTTTTGGCATTTCTCTATGCTAACTTGTAACAATTGACAATTTCTCGTGGAAAGCAAATAACGTGTTCTCAGATCCCTCTCTCCCCTTTGAAAGATAATAACGGAAATGGAATACGATTTATGTCTCTATAAAAGTAAAACTATAAATATTTTTTTCTTAGATGTTTTTTTACATTTGAAATTAATCTAGAAATAAAGTATATAGTTTTTTTATTATATGTTGTATTTTTTTCTTCCAATTTTTCATTATGTTTGAAGTGTATTTAAAGTAAATACGATAGGTATACATGCATGTTCATCTATAAAAGTTGTACTTATAGTCCGTGATTCATTTTATTTTCAATTTAGTATTAAAAAATACATTTTCAAATAGAATGTTTGCTTGTTTTCAACCTCAGAGCACACCAATTTAATTTCTTGTTCGTCGGACATTTGATGAAAAAAGTACGAGCAGGCTAGCGGTTGAATAATAATATTATTACTTGATTATAGGCAAAATTTTTAGGCGGGGCTTGAAAAACTTTGAGCGGAGAATTATATTTGTTTTCTGATTTGCAGAGTGAGTAGATTATAAGAACAATAAATAGAGTGGAAATATAATAGAAACAGCACAGAATTCCCATGGTGTCTGGATTTTAAATTAATATCATTTGTACATGTATAGCTTTGTTTAAATACGAGAGGGGGGTCGGACGAACAAAAAATTTATTGGTGTGGCCTCGTACAAATTTAATTCAGAATTTTTTTTTTTTAAATAGAAACCGTTTAATATATAATACATCTTATGACTTGAATTTTGTTATCCACGATCCGATCTTAATTTCATAAGTCTTAACTCTAGATGTGCCCTTCGTTTCCTTCTGTAAAAACAAGACATTTTCATCTTAAACTTCATGTTTTTTAAAAATTTTTATCTTTATTATTTTATATAGTTTGTCCCAAAAATCAGCATGGGAAGAATTGTTCAAGAGTGTGTAGCAACTGTAATTCTTGTGACAGATTCTCTGGACAATGTACATCACTGTGTAAGGCTGGATGGGAAGGACCTATTGTACAGAAAGTAAATGAATATTTCATTGGCAGAGATGATTTATTTAAATGCTGCTTTATTGTAAAGTCGGGTAAACTGTAGGAACATTAGAAAAAAACTAATTTTTTATAATTTTCTTACGACAGTTTTATTCTTTAAATGGTAACATGTAACAATTTTTATATCGGCACGAAAAATATCCCAAGGTATGCATTGGTGATTTTACAACTGAAAATATAATAAATGGAATGCAAACATTGAATAGAAAGTTTAGAGATATTTCGAATAAACTCCTATCTTGGGTTGACTGTATGTTCACCATTCAATTTGCTCCCAGGTTTTCGCTAAATTCGGTCTTCGTTCAGCGTTCGTCATTTATTCACCAAATTGCTTCCATCGTTCACAGATCATTCACTCATGGTTACTGTTCGCTTTCTCTCTTTCTCCTCGCTCAACCATTCGTTGCATGTATGTCTCTTTTTAGCATTCAAGTGTGAAATTATAACGTTTCATGCCTGTTGCATTAATGATATTGACAGAAAAAAAAAACTAAAATCGACAGTGAAATACGTCTACCTTTATAAATTGATATCTTGTATCTTCTTAATTTTAATATTTAAGGAAAAAAAAAACAATATCAACAATCATTATATCCATAAAAAAAGCTAAAACACATTATTCAATTCTTTACAGTCATTTGGTTTATACAACATATGTCATTTGGAATTTGTCCTGGTTTAATTGTATTGATTCTTCTCGAGAATTTTTCACTCATATGGAGACGCCACTATTTGCCGGTGGAGAGCTGCAAATTTTGTCCTTTACTCTTTTTCGTGCCAGCACCTACTGCGACACGGGACCTCAGTTTATACGGTCTCATCCGAGTGACCGGTCTCTACCTTCCATAGTGGGATTCGAGCCCTAGACGCAGGGATCAACTCCTTACCTCGCGATTCTAGAGCAGACCTCTAACCACTGAGCCACGCCGGTGACTGTCCTGGTCTTTTTAAGCCATAAATGGGGGAAACTTTACTTCTTCTACTGGATAAACTAAAGAGGATTCTGGAATAGAGAGGAACAGTCTGCAAGCAGATGTTGTACTTAAAGAGATATGTTGCGTTGCTAGAGATACAATAATGAAACGCAGCTTCTTCTTATAAGGAACACAGTTTTGCGAAATGTTTCAAACGTACATGTATATCTTAACCATTATAGAGATTTGACCATATGTTAAAGCAATGGCATATTATTGAATATTTGCATCAAAGGTTTTTCTAGATAATATTAAAAATATGGTATATCATTTATTTTGATATGGTTTTAAAAGAATGTGATGGTAGCAGCTATGGACAAGACTGCAGACAGACCTGTGGGGAATGTCTGGATTATAAACCATGTCACTACATCAATGGATCGTGTCTAGAAGGCTGTGTCGCTGGATATGAGGGAGAACTTTGTAAAACGGGTAACCAGTAATTGATTCGCATTTCTGGTTCATATTATATTATATATAAATCAACCATGATAATTCTCAAACGTACACTCTTAAGACGACTAAGGACATGCATTGTAGAAATTTATATTAGGTTGTTCTTCTGGGAAATTTGGTATCAACTGTAAGCAGAATTGTAATAAAAACTGTGGAGTGCCTTATCAATGTAACAGAATAACAGGAGAATGTAAGGGAGGATGCCAACCTGGCTGGAAAGGACCTCGATGTGAAGAAGGTTCATTGTTACAGTTTAATAAATGGCTTGAAACTTAATGTTACTATTTTTTTCTTTTGACTCTATTTGTTACGATGAACTTCAATTTCTGTTTGAATAAATTTGTAAACAAGAATGTCTAATGAAATCCATTGAAGAAAAAGTAGTAAAGTGTTTGTTTTTTTTTTCAGTTTGTAAGGACAATAAGTACGGCGAAAACTGCTTTCACAATTGCGGATTCTGTCGGGACTCAAACTGTCATCATGTAAATGGCTCTTGCCCAGGAAATTGTTTGAATGGATATCAGGGAACTTTATGCAACGAAAGTAATTCAACTTCAATAATTCAAAATAAGGCATAAGAATAACCGCAGAAATTTGATACTTTAAGAGTTCCCACCCCTAATAGGACTTTATTTTATATCCTCAAATATTCGTCACGTATATGAAACTTTGATATTAATTCAAGTCATTTTACAGTATAAAAAAATCTACGAAGGGAAAGTTTCACAGTTGTCATTTACTAAGCAGTAGTTAATTAACAGAATTTGCATAAATATGAATTCTTTGGAGACTAGCGATTTAAAAATAAGTGTATCAATAAATACTGTGGTGGAAAGATGCATTAAATTATTAGAAATAGAAAACTTTTTTTTTTCCAATAGATCTTTCTAAATTGATTTTTATGGATAAAAAAAAAGTTATTTAAGTCTTCAAAAAGGTCAAGGTCATCAATCAGGACACGTTCCATTCTTACATGCTCATAGTTATAAATTGGATCATGTCTAAATATACAGGGTTTTCCACCTGTACTCAGCTTTTATGTATGCATATTCATTGAATCCAAGGCTATTAAGATTGGAGTACCTTAAAAGCTTTATCCTTTTTACACGTTACTTTAAATGAAGCAAAATGACAATTTTTGGTTAAGCAAATTTATTTGTAAGATATAATGAGCCTGTAGCATTTAATGACAGAGTGTAAGACAGGCTTTTATGGAGAAAATTGCAAGAAGGCATGCAGTATTTTCTGTAAGTCATCACGCGATTGTAACCACGTGACTGGACATTGTGATGAAGGATGTATTGGCGGATGGCAGGGTGCTTTGTGTTTGCAAGGTAAATACTTTTTAATTGTTTAGTACTTAATGTTATCACAACAGCATTGCAATAAACAAATATTTTGCAACATCAATAGATCCGATATTTATATGATTTTCTTCATGCAGTTGCAGATAAAACGGATGATAATGATTGTCTGTCAAGATTTTATGGTGTTCTTGCTGCTCTCTGTGTTTGTTTGATAATAATCGCCATTTTAATGTCTTATATATGTATCTATAGGTAAGTTGTGTTTTATATTTAGGGCAAGCAAATATATCTCTCCCTCTCTGTATCTTCTCTCACATTTTAATATTCCTAGTTTCGTGTAGAAAAAAATGTGACTTGTTTTAATAATATATTTTTTACATTTATGTAGATGGAAAATGAGAGAAAAACTAAGGAAACTGAAGTATAAAGAAGATAAAGATATTAAGGTCGCATCATTTAACATGGACATTACCACTAATGAGAAGGATGAAGTCGAGAAGAACGAATATCAGGAGCTGGGAGAACTGGCCCTACCATCACATTATGATCGGCTTTAAACATCTTATACTATACAATATTTTCCAAAATTATAAATACAACAGTCTTTTATAATATAAAAACATAAGATAATTACATATGTGAACCTGTACCTCTGACTAAAAAAAGTATTTTTTAAAGTATTGATTTAAGCCTTTATCTTGAATGCTTAGATTGGCACCAGAGAGTAAAGACAAATTCATTTTACATTGTATCTTGTATCAAAGCAGTTGTTTTTAAAGAGTGTTGCGTTCCTGCATTTCATTCTAAATCTCTCTCTCTCTCTCTCTCTCTCTCTCTGAAATAAAGCGGTAACCATTCCTTGTTTCTGAAACGCTCTATTTTAAATTGGATTAAAACAGTACGAGATTCATATTAATTACTCTTTTATGTTTCTCGATATATATTTTATGAATCAAATTCCCTATTCTTTTTTCTAAAAAAAGACGACTTAATGTCTGTCGGAAACGTCATTAAACATAAAATACAAAAAAAAAAAAAAAAATGATGGGCCCTTTTTACATGCACAAAAGGAGTTACGAGTAATATAAAAATGGATTTTTGCAATAACTAAACTGATTTATATAGTCTTCAGCGTGAAGCAGTGGTTAGAGCATCTGCTTTAGAGTCGCAAAGTTAGCAGTGAATCCTTACGTCACGGGCTCGATTACCCATATGGGACATGGATGCCAGTCCTCCCAATGAGTCCCTATATACCGAGGTTCGTGTCGCAGTAGGTGCTTGCACGAAAAAGATCACTCAATGCTCAATCTAGGAATTTGTAGCAAATATGGTCAAGACTGTAGACTTAGTTGTTGAGCGAGTATGGGATATAAACATTTTCTCCACCTCAACGGCTCATGTAATGAAAGTTCTTTCGCTGGATATGAGGGAGATCTTTGTAAAACTGGTATTTTTATTTTATGATTTCACTGTGTATGCGGTGAATTTTGTGTATCATGGACTCAATTGCCTCAACACGAGCTTAACAAATGAAACCTACATGGGCAATTTAGCCACATATGATCCACATATGTATTGCCTTTCATATGAGGATCATATGTGGATCATATGAGAATCATATGTTTATATAATCATATGAGAATCATATGTGCCCAATCATATTATTATCATATGATCATACATATGTGAATCATATGAAGAAATATACATATGATTCTCATATGAAAGATCCTGCATATGAGAATCATATGAGTATTCTGACAATAATCATATGAGAATCATATGAAACTGAACATATGAGAATCATATGAAACAATGTTCACTAATTTGTCCTTGTTATACTCAGGTAAAATTCATACGAATGCTTTGACTGTGATCATATGAGAATCATATGAAACGGTGTTCATATGAGAATCATATGAAACAGTGTTCACTTATCTTTCCTTGTTATACTGAAGTAAAATTGCAATTTCAATTATATATATCAAAAGATATATTTAAATGTACATTAATTCAAAAGAATTTGTTAATAATTAATTATATGTAAAGTTCTACTCTGTTTACCCCCCCTTTCCTTCTAAAAAAAAACTTTCACAATTTTTTTTCTGTTATAATGCATTTCCTAGACAAAATAGATAAAGAATAAATTGATTTGCTTTTCATTTTAAATCTTTTGGGTTTGGCTAAGTAAAATTAAAATAATTCCGTATTTTTCTCCGGGCCGGTTTTGTCTTTTATCGGATGAAAATATACGTCAATTTTGACGTCACTGCTGCAGCAGACGTGTTGGGTGTTTGGAAAAGGCAAGTGATCTCCTAACAATAACATTTTAAAGACTTTTGATTCATATTGTTTAAATATAATTTCATTATTGTTACAGGTGCATATTAACTCTCTATCGATATATACTCTTATCACTTGCATCATGCATGTAATATGTTAAATCAATGCATTTCGTAAAGTTCGTGATCTGTAAGTAAGTTTGGATAAAATTTGTTTCTGAATGAATGTAAACATTACATGTTATGCTAAAGGCATTACTACTTTTTAAAACTTGAATTTGTTTTCGTTTTGTTATACGTACTGATATGAAAGTGAAAGTAGAAACCTTGTATATATGTCGTTATGTATGTTGAGATCGTTATCAAGCCCGGATTCCTTCTTAAACTTAATGACAAATGTTTGTTATTATGGCCTATAGATGCATTCGGCAACTTGGGTTCAGTGTCACAGTGCTGTTTTTTTTTTCAGTCCAAAGAGCCCGAAGCTGATAAGACTGGCGATTGATCCTGAAGCTGATTTGACAGACGATTGCATCATCAGAATATTGAAGGTAAAAATAAATACTTGAAATAAAAAATCAAAGTATCTGTAATGTCTCTTGATGACAAAATATTTCTTGATAGAGATCTAATTTCTTTTTGTTCTTTTATAATTCTACATTTTTTGCATGGCTTCATCAAAAATAAATTCAACTCAACTCAATACTCTAGAAATTTTATTCTACATTATAATTTTAATCCAGTGCACTTAAAATATGCAAAGTATGAATAGATTTTGCTGGCTGTAAACTATATAGTATACAATAAATTTGTGGGGAAAGGGGGGATGAATTGGATTTTTGAATTTCAACATAAAAATTTATAACAGTGACATCCAACTTTAAAGGTATGAATACATGTGCTGCATGTGTGTTGAAAGAACATCAGCTAGCTTATCCATTGAATATTTACATCTATGTATTCATTTACTGACAATTATTTTTCCCCCCAACACTAGTGAATGATGTGCGTGCCTATAGTTTCGGGTTAAATGTTAGCTATATTTAATACTTAATAGAGAACCTACAAACGTGTACTCTCTCATTTTGATAGTTTAAGTTTTAATTAAATGTATTCTTAGAAAATATCTACTGTGTGAGACTGTTAGTATTTGTCTTACAGGTTCAATATACAGTCAGCCTCTCGTAAGATAAAGAACAAATCCCAAGATCCAAGGCTTGCTTCAAAGTTAAGGTAACTACACACTGTTAAATAAACTTTGTTATAGTCTTCCCAAACGTTTGGGATATCTTGGAATCACAATGTCTGTTTTTCTGCCTGTCTACTTGTCTGTAGTATTTTTTTGTCCAAAAATAATATACATTTATCTGTATCAGAATCTTCTTAATTTTTTGACAATCTGAATTAATATATACTGTATGAACATTCGAAATTTAATTGTCAAAATAACAAAAAAAATGCTTTTTATGATTTTATTATGAGGCATATTTCTCAATAGTGTAATTGTTTTGCAAATTACATCATAGGATTCCTCAAAACACCTAGTATAACATATATAACATTAGTTTTATCTTGTATCATATCTATGTCAGTGAATTGGGCATACATTTGTTTGCTGATTATACCTAAGTAAATTTTATAACTCATAGAATTTAAGAATTATTTTATTTTTACTTTTGAAATTTTTGTAGAGACCATTCTGTGCCACAAAGAAATTGTTCAGGAAAAGGAGAAGTCGTGGATATTCATTTTTGGTACGGTACAGTTCAAAGAGATTTTCAAAATGGTCATTGTATTTAAGCTGTTTTACAATAAAGCTTGAAAAGAATTACTTTGCTTTTCTGATCAATGCGACGGGTCTCCGAGGCATGTATTTGGTTAAAATGTAATGAACATGGTACAAATTCAAAGTTTCGCTGAATCCGTGTATTGTGCTCTGTTGCCATATTTATTCTCAATTTAATTATAGATTTTTGCTCGATTTAAATATGTTGTCTTATTAAAATGATAAAACACTGAAAAAGATATAAGAGTTATGATACATTTATGTAGATCATTACACGGCTGACATCATGATAATGAACATTGTAACAAGCACTGAAAAAGCAGCTAGCTGGATGCAAGGAATTTGGAAAGTCTGTATGTTCTATATTATGTTACATTACATACTTTGTCTAAAATGCATACTTAATATTAAATTATCAAATTATGAAATATAACTTAATATACAAAAGAAAACCATTGTGATCGGCAGGTCAATAACATACTAGAGATTAAATAATAATCAGCTGAGTTATGAATATATTTTTTTGCAGTTTCAGAGAACGGATATGACTGTTTTGCGCGATATTATGAAATCCTTGTGACTTTGTGAGTTTGTTTAGCAATAAAAATAGTTTTGGCTGCTTTTATCCGTATTAAAAGGTATGTCTCATACAATAAATGGTGTACTTTGCAAAGTCAGAAAACCCTTAGAATTTCATTAGATGGTTTCTCTAAATAAAATGCTTAAATAGTCTTTATCTCTCTCTCTCTCTCTCTCTCTCTCTCTCTCTCTCTCTCTCTTCTTAGATTAATTTTAACTCTTAATATCAGATTTATATGGAATAACTATCTGCAAATAGCTTTGAGGTTAGAGAGAACCACGAATTTATTAAACTTTTATTATTGATTTATTATTTTTTTTTTGCAAAGAATACTAATTAAATCTATATCAGACGTTCAAAACAAAGACAATGCAGAAAAGATATCAAAGGTGACGGAAAACCGGACGTAGGTTTGAATAATAATATCAAAAATATGAAAAATTTGTGGAATCAACGCTATCAATAGAGTATGAAATAATCTAATAACTTTTATAAAACATCAATGTATTTTGTGCATCATTTTATACTGGGTGAAAGATGGATTTGGTAATAGGTGTATTTCTTCAAAGACAATTGCATACTTTACATCCTCTTGAATCTATCAATTATATTTCCTTACACAGTGTTTGTTAGTCAGCTCATCATCATAATCGAATCTGATAAACTGACATGATTGTTATTTTTCCCAGAATCTGTTTATTAGTTTGATATTAAAATATATACTGAAAGCAAATTATTAAAATTCATTTAAAAGCACAGATGTAGATCATATTATTATTTTTTTACTAAAGGAATTGATTCTATACAGTGGCATTTTATGTCAGTTTTGAAAAAAAAAATATAGAAAGAAAGAAAATATTGTTTGATTAATTTGAATTTAAAGAAAAAATAGCATTTAAGCGTTGAAATTTCACATAAAAGATTCCAAACCAAGTTTAGACGTACGTCTCATGAAGACAGGCATAAGCTAAGTGGAATACGCATATACATTTAGAAATAAAACTTAAATTATTCTCAACAAATGGATTCCTTTTTCTATTAGCGTTACATTAAAAGATGGACCAATGTGGAATGAGTCCTTATTGGAAAAGATAGTAGCCTATAATGACTAATTACTCTATTTCTAATTTTTTTTGTAATTATAATCATTTGAATATTAATTGTTTTCCTTTGAAATCCCAATCAACCTTTTTTTTAACGTCTTCAAATACAGAGATGAAAATGTTAAACCAATCTGCCGAAAAAAATGTTTTGTAGATTTCCAGAGTTTTTATTCCATGACACTTCAATGGTCGCCTGTGTCGCACAGTGACACGATCTTTTGGGTCGTGGAGTAAGGTGTTGATCTTTACATCGCGGGTTCGAATCATAATGTTTGAAGTTAATATTGGTCCATCGAATGAGACAGTAAAAAAAAAGAAGTCTTATGTTACAGTATATGCTGACGCAAGAAAGATTCCTTATTGCTCAATGACCCTGAGTTAAAAGGATAGGGCAAAATTTTTTGTTACCCGCTTGTAGGTTATGGCCTTCAACATGTTTCCCTCAATGCTTAATTGCCCTGAGTGCCAAACTGAGGGCAAAAATTGCAGTTTTCAATCGGCAAGTTTTGGCGTTTCCGTATGTTTGAAAAATTTTCTGGTGGAATGATAGGCAAAAGACAAATACTATTAATCTGAGCTACACAAAGGTGGTATTGACATGTTTAATGATTGGTAATTTAAAGTTGAATCAGATTTTTTTTTTGGATGTGGATAGGTTAATAAGACTGTTGTGAACATTTCAATAGTGTTTTATTTTCCTTATATGCTTAACAGTGTACTCAAATGATAAAATTGATATTCAAAGATTAATGTTTTCCCTTAAATGTTCTAAAAAAAATTAGGAGTCGTGTACATATTTGACAGTCACAATTAATTGAGACGATGGGTTTTAAAAAAAAAACATGGACTGATACAATATACGATAAAATTAATGATACGTAGATTTGTGTTAACAAACTTTAAAAGGAACATTATAAAAAAAATTCAGCAGTTTTTGAAAATTCAGCTTGATACGTTGATAAATTTGCAAAATCATTAAGAAATTAAAAAAAACAATACATTTTATGATCACACGACGCTATGTCGTTTAGTTTTATGCCGTCCGCCAGCGTCATTATTTCTCACTGCAATATACTAAGGCTTTCATCACTTTCCCTATTATATATCTCAGTTGATTCGATATTCAAGAGTATGCTCTGCGTATGAAGGGGAGCAGGGGATGCTCACTCCTCCATTGCACCTGATGTCACCTCTGACGTGTTGGACGTCTGTGTCTTCTCTTCTCCTAATTTGTGTTGTTTTATATATAAAATTTGCATCTTGAATACTGCTCGTTGTCTTCATATGTTTCATCCTGATGAAATTCTATGAGTTAATTTTAATTATCAAACCATTTTTATTTTTCATAACTAGGCAATGTCATAAACAGCTGATTTTAATGCTAAAACTTATTAATTTGCTTGTGAAATACTGTACGAAGTATATGAAACAGTTGTAGTTTTATCCCCCATTTTTTATATTCTCTCTCGTTTGTATAAATAAAAAATAATCCTTGTGAATCTATATAAAAGCATATTCTATTGGTATATGTATTTCTTTTGACAAAGTTTTGTATGTTAAGATATTTCTCAAACTATTCGACTTAATGGATTTCTATGTAATGTTATGGATCCAAACTTTTGTGGTTATGTCTCATTAGTTATGTGTTTAATGCGAAGTACTCCGAAGTTGACATCGAAAAGATGCTTGACTTTGTGATTGATAATATTTATGTGGTTTTTAGTGACCATGTCTTCCAACAATCTATTGGAATTTACATGGGTACCAATTGCGCCCCGTTATTAGCAAAACTGATTTTTTTAATCATATGAAGGAGAATCTGTGCAAAATCATATTCATGAAAAGAAAAAAAATACGCTATGGTCTCAAATCAACATTTAGATATATCGAATACATATTTTCTATTAACAATGGTGATTTCCATTCTGGGGAGAATCAGATAAAAGATATTACAGATTCTGACGGATCTGCTTCTTACCTGGATATTTTACTTGAAAAGGACTTTAATGGTAATCAAAAATCAATTTATATGGTAAACGTGATGATTATAACTTTTCTATCGTCAACTTTCCTTCTTATGCAACAATATGCGTAACGTGACACAGAACTAGTCGGACGTACCATCTCGGGCGCTGTGTTTTTTGACATATAATTCTATATTAGAGCTTTTTTTATTGTGAAAAAAAAATCATTTGAAATCGTATTGCGTTTCCTAATGTGTGTGTGTAAAAAATTGATATACTTATAATTGGTATCGGAAACACGTAGTTTTGCTTGTTTACGTGTTTAGGAAGTATTTATAGTATCAAAGATTTAATTGGGTTTTAACGATTGATATGAGTTCAAATGAAATCGTGCGGAACAGGTAGTTAACCTGGTTCCAGGTATTAAGAATTAGAGGTTATTCGAGGTTTCACTGCACTAAGTGCAACAAGTAAAAAGTCGAATAGATGTCTCGGAAAAAAACAGATTTCTTGGCCCAATACCGGGAGGAAGATGAATCTCTAGACGAAACTCTACTACAAGAAACTGCTGGTGAACAGAAAACCACTCGCAAGACGGCAAATTCTGCGGAGACCTCTGGACACTCTAGCCCCCGTGTAAGTGCGGACATGGCCGATACCTTCAACCTGTTCAAGTCATACCTGGACAACAAACTAGATACTCTCAAGGAGGAACTCTCTACGGGTAACGACATCGAAAATTTAACAAAAAAACATTAAAACAGAGGTCTCTGTAAAATTCAAAAGTGAAGGGAACAAAATTCAGTTTAACTTTAATACTGAAATATTGGGTGATTTGAAGAAACTTTAAAAACGCATTACAGATTCTTCCACATTGAGCATCGTTAGAGAGCTCATTCCCAAGGTCACTAAACGTAACAAGCTCATCAGGATCGCCAATAAATCTCCCACCGGGTGGTCGACAGTCCGTGAGTATGAAAGTGATGATTTGGCGTCCGACTCTGAGGACGAAAAACGTCTTCGCCAAGCTGAAAACCGAGCATTACGAGCTTTCAAGGAAAAACGCCGTTTTCAGTCATGCTCCAAGTCTGGTTCTGCAACAACTTCGCTACCTGATGGTAGGTCTGGTGGTTCTGGCCGTAATTTCCGTCCCTACAAACGTAACCAGGCCTCTCCATAGGACGTGTGCTAAAACTGCCATAAGCTCGGCCATTGGAAATCCGCATGCACTGCCCCAGGCAGAACCAACAACTCAAGCACAAGCTCGTCAACCCAGTGATTATGAGAATCAGTATGTATATTTCGTTGATGAATCTATTTTTACTAATCAGTTTGAATCATTTGTACAGCAAGTAAATTATTTTGAAAATTTACCTGATATTGGTAAAGGGATGAAAGGCAGTTTACGCAAACATTTTGAGTTTTGGAAGTCCATAAGCAATAATGAGTTCATATTAGATACTATCAAAAATGTTTATGTTATTTTTTTGTTACAGTACCACCACGCTTGAGACTGAATAATATCAAATCTGCAATGAAAAGCCAACAATTGTTGATCAGTCTGTTTCATATCTTCTTGAGAGCGGCTGCGTTCAGTAATAAAGGGTCTGGTAAAATGAGATTTATTCTGGATTTGAGTCAATTGAATTATTTTGTTGACAGAAGAAAAGTAAAGTTTGAAGTTCATTCAGTTGGAAAGATAAGTTTTATTGTTTCAATGTTTTACCTGTTGGTCTAACGTCTGCATCTTATATTTTTACCAAGTGTCTAATAAGACCCATAGTGAAGTACTGGAGAAGCTGCAGAATTGACATTGTTTTGTATGTGGACGACGGTCTTGGTTTTGGTTAAGATTTACAAACGTGTGTTAAAGCATCAAATTTAGTTCAAGAGACTTTAGAAAAAGGCAGGTTTGCTAATTAATATTGAAAAGTCTATTATTAAGCCTGCCCAGTGTTTGGAGTGGTTAGGGTTGGTATGGGATACCAGTGTATTATCTCTACGTTTACCCGAAAGACGACTCTCTGATGCTCAGAACACGATAGAATTTCTTATTGATAGATTTCCCAACTTTAGAGCTCGAGATCTCGCAAAAGCGGCTGGGAAAGTTATTTCCATGTCACCAGTTGTTGGTAATGTAACAAGTTTGATGACCAGACACATCTATTTAGCTATAGAAAGCAGAAGTCATTGGGATTGTTTAATCAGTTTTTTATTTCCAGAAGCAGTAAAATCAGAGTTGCAGTTCTGGAAGGAAAAGTCGTTATTTATCATAATTGGCCCTGTAAAATATGAAAAAATAAAGTGGAGCAATTTTTAAATTTATGGTTTATAACATATGTTGAGGGCGCTAACTTTAAGATTTAGGTATTAGTTTGGCAAAAAGCGCGCGCAATTGGTAACAGTGAAAGTCGAAACCGGGAAAGTATTCCGGAAATTTACATTTTTTGGCCTATACAATGTATATAAACGCAATTTTTAATGTGTCCGCATTCGAGTATGTATTCCAAACTTTTTCAATTGCAAAATTATATCATATTCATTAATTTAAACGTTTAATTTTGACCTTACAAAGATGCAGACATGACGAATTTTAATAAATTGTGTTTCGCAGATAAAGATAAATCATGACAATAATGACGTTTTTCTTCATCATGCTAATTTCACAAATATCTAATGACCCTTTTCTTCAAGATAAATTGTTTAAGTACTTTTTTCACAAAAACACTACAACGACTAATTGTTCATAAAAGTAAATGTGCATGTGTTTTTAAAAAGTTACCTAGGGGGAGGGGCGGTCAAAGAAAAATAAAATGAACTCACCTCAATAATCTTGAAAAGTGACAAAAAGAAAAGAAAAAAAGAGAAAATGTTCAAACTCGAAAAAATACTTTTCGTTTGGGGGGGGGGGGGGGTCTAAATTCTTATATTTTTTTTACTCACACATATTACTGTCTGGGAAAGTTTGGGGACCCCCTCTCTCAATATACCCTGATGTTACGTGCCTGCAATTGAATACTTTTGAGTGATATAGATATAGTTCAAAGATTTATAAGTTTAATATATAATGTTTGCTTTGAGATGGAAGAGGTCTGTCGAAATCGCAAATGCTAAATCACCGATAAATGAAAGAATTATATCAATAAGCGGATTAGCGTGTACTCTATAATTGCAATGATTTGTGACAAAAAGCGTTTCATAACAGTGCTAAAAATATTCGTAGCATTTGCAACAGGGCTTCCGGGGACAGGGGTTGATAGGGTGTTGAATTCTTTTGATGCCCGAATCTTAGTTTACTTCATCTCACCAACGACAGCAGGGTAGTGGGTATGTGTGCGCATGACACGAGTGTGGTTTGGTTTTCGGCATTTTTTGCGCCACGAGGATGTTCCTCGGACAGGGGTACAGAACTGGGAATTCTCTGAATGTGGTTGTAAACGAAAGCGACGTCACTAAAGAATAATGATTCCGGAGATTCTTAATTGTTAAAAAATATTTACAATAGAATTTGAATACCCATACTACATGCACATGACAACTTCTCGGGTCTAACTAAACGACAATGAGAACATAGTAGATATTTCAAGATTGATATCACTGACAAATTTCATACAATGTATATCATATGTACAAATCATTATTCTATCGCCTTAATTTGCTTGATGCGATCATTACAAATTCTTTCCAATGTTATATCTTTGATATATTTGAAAGATATGAATCTAACTACGAGTATTTACATGTGATATTCAATATAAGAGTTATACAACCATGTGCCCGAGCCTTCTGGGGGGACTTAAGAAGATGTGATTGTTTTTGCTTTACTGGTATTGTTATGGTATTGTTTACGAATTTCTGTGTACCATTACTTTGTGAAATTGTTATCTTATTGAAATGATTAGAATTTGTTTAAGATAAAAATATTTCACGTTAATTAACAGTGCGCACGTACATGTATATTAAGAATATTTTTTGTGTTTGTTATTGTTATACAGAATTTAAATTCATAAATATATTAATATAATTCAAGAAAATATACTCTTCACATATATTCTCTCCAAAACGTTTTATGCAGTTAACGATTTAGCAAAGACTTATGTATCGTAAATAAAAATTCAAAATCGCTGTTTTAAAAGCTAGCACAGAAAGTAAATAAAAAATTGGGTTATTTAGTTAACACATACAAGAACAGTAATATAGACAAAAATTATATATTTGAAAATTAACATATTTTGAAACATGTAAATTTTGAAAGTTGCCGAAAAAAAATTGATAACGTTATGTTTACATCGCGACGTCATGCCGTCGAGCACGACTTTTGTGGAATACCATGTCATTTTTCAGAGGCTCCTGACTAAAAACTAAAAGTGGTATTTGAAACATTTAACCTGTTTTGGTAAAGATGCATTATAGACACCTTTTGAAAAATCCCTTATTAGATTCAATCACAGGGCTTATTATAAACCATAACGACTCTTCTTCTTTAGTCTATTATGAAGACTGGCAAACAACTCAAGAGGTTTTTAAATTTATTTGACCAAATGTGGGGTCCTCATACTATTGATAGAGTTGCAAGTGTGTTTACACAAAGTTAACGAGGTTTAACTACCTTTTATGGTACCCGGAGACTGAAGCAGTTGATGTTTTTAGCCAAAACTGGTGTTTTGAAAATAATTGGTTAGTACCACCTATTTGTCTTGTGAGTAATGCTATAAAACATGTGACAGCGTGTAAATGTGTGGGTACATTAATTGTTCCAAAATGGCCGTCTGCAGCATTTTAGACTTTACTCTTTGATGAAAATATGAAGTATAAACAGTGTGTAGTTGAAGTTTTTGAATTTTCTCATATCAGAATATTTTTATGCATGGCAAAAATTTGAACAGCCTGTTTGGCTCTGACAGCTTTAATCCAGAGTATTAGTTGTAAGACTCAGTGGGGTCTGATAGACATGGCCTTAGAAGGCATGGTCTGTGTACATATTAATGTTTGAATTTATTTTGTGTTTATTATGACAAGACCAAGTTTAAGGCAAGATCAAGTTTTATTACTAGATTGACATGGCCCTTAATTAGAATGCATTTTTTTAAAGCTGGCACGGTCAGGAATGGAAAGACAAGGTCATGCTTATCGACATGGTCTACTGCGACAAGGCTTGGGTTTCCAAACATGGTCGGTAATATGACTTTTATTTTAGTTTTGCAGATGTTTTCAAAACTGGAAATTGGAATTTGTTATGGAGGACCTCTCATCCCTCCTTACAATCGCTGGCAAAGAAACTTCCGGATTTAATCATGAATTCCAAGGCTAAAACACAAGAAAAACGTACGGATATGCCTTCAATAAATTTTGTAAGTGGTGTTTTACACATAATATTTCATATCTTCCTGCAACGGATTTCCATGCATCGTTATACTTAACAAGTCTCAGTAATACATGCAGCAGTGCAGGGACAATTGACGAGGCTTTTTATGCAATTAGCTGGGCGCATAAATTGGCGGGATTTCCTAATCCCTATTCACCCAGAGAGGGATGCCATAGAACTATCGGGAAACAGTTGATAAATAAAAAAGAACCCATTACCTCCAATATACTGAAACAATTGTGTGCTCTTTACGGAGGTGAATCGTGTTCTTTTTAGATACATGTTTTAGAATATGTTGTATGTGCTTATTAAGTTATGCTAGCGCTGGTTTTTGAAGATTTTCAGAACTTGTTCATTTGAAGAGATCAGAATATATGTTTTTATGACAATAATATGATTCTTACTATTCAGAAAAGCAAAACAGATCGTTGGAGGGGAGCAATGTAGTTGTGTCATGTACGATTGAAATTACATGTCCTTTGAGATTGACCAGAAGATTTCTCAGTTTAGCAAACATTAACGACTAATCTAATGAATATTTGTTTAGATCTATCAGTTATTGTAAAAGTTCTAACACATACAAGTTAAGAGATGAAAAGTGCTTGTCATATACAACGGCTAGAGAGATTCTTCTGGACGCGCTCGCATCATTGGGTGTAGATAGAACTAAGTTTGGTCTGCATAGTCTTCGCGCTGGCGGGGCTACTGCAGCGGCAATCCATGGTGTTTGTGATAGACTATTTAAAAAACATGACCGGTGGAAATCTGAGACTGCTAAAGATGGATATGTGTCAGAAAATCTTAGACAGCAACTGTCAGTTACGAAAAATTTGGGTTTATAAAGTGTGGGTTTTTGCTTCTGTCTTTATTTGTCGAGGTCTGTTGCACAGACGCAGGCGATGCCGTTCCTAAAC